CACTTAAAGGAAGATGATAAACAGTTAAAAGAAGAAATCAAACACTTAAAGGAAGACGATAAACAGTTAAAACAAGATTTGCAGAAACACCTTCAAAATCACCAGACTAACACTGAAATGCTGGCCAAACTAAGAAACTTTGTCTGGAGAATGACTGGTAAGGAATTTTTCCTGAGGAAGAAAAACTTTCTTCATTGTTATTGATTTTGAACAATTCACATGAATTCTGAAACATTCCCAAGCACTCGTACATATGCAGAGTTTTCATACATCACCCTATGTTTATATGTGAACATTGGTTAGACTCGGACACTTTTCCTTAGTTTTAAAAGATGAGATAACTTCTTAGCTAACTATCCGAAATCTATAGCAATCAGCGTTCAGCTTCAAGCATTTTGTTACTATGAAATAGAGTTCATGCAGCTGATCACATTGACATTGATCGTTCTTATAGATCGACGACCTTTTCTTTGAAGAATCAGACTCAGCTGAATGAAAGAATAATTATTATAAGCTTAGTTTTGAAAATTTAAATTTATCGTAGATAAAAGTCCAAACTATTGGTATAATTGTAGTTAGAATATTTCAACACTAGTAATATTGTGAGCGTAAGTAGTTCAACTATCCTTTCAAAACTCATCAAACTTGAAGTGTATGTTCATCTATTCAGGACGTATATGTCAAAAATATATATTGATTGTTTCTGAATAACCTCCCTTATCTATTGTAGTTTTTGTAGACAAATATGTAAGAAAACAACTAATAAGAATAAAGAGTAGTGAAAATGTAATATCAATCAAGACTTGTATTCTTAAGTCTATAAAATATTTGAATTCTGTATACTAACAATATTAAAATGATATGAAAATATTCAAAGTACAGATGTACTTAGAATTTCTGCTTATAATCGTTATGTAGATATATAGCTAGTTGAGGAGCATTCACTTTCAAATTTTTAGATGGTGAGAAATAAATTAGGACAAAAGTTAAAATTTACGACATAACACTTCGCAATACTTCTTCTTGGACAGGATTCACTCTAATGTCTCGAAGACAGTGTGTGAGATAGAGCGTGTTAAAATATTGAGATCAGCTTAGGAACTTCTAGACATTGTCATTAACTCGATTAAAAATAGAGATTTGTACGTGAGAACGTTTCTTATGAGCTTGTAAAATTTCAACTTTAATTCCGTAAGTTATTCCTTCCGTGACATTAAACGAACTATCATATCTGATCGCATGAACTGTACAACAAGAGTGTTGGTCTATATTTGATACAGTATTCATCTGTGAAAAAAATTAGTAAGCCATTAAATGAAAATCCTAGGCATGAACAACCTCTGTATTTAAAAATATACCACTGAATTCATTTGGAAAAGCAATCATGCCTTCTATTAACTTGTTTACATCTATGTATACATTATAGAGAAGATAATTCAATTGATATGCGATAATTATGCAAAAACAGATAATTGTTTAGAAAAGTGAAGCGTGAAATATAACAAATATAGTCCTATCAAAATGTATCATACATATTTTCTTAAGGATGAAAGTTTACCGAAAAAAAATTATAAGATACTCTCTTCGTAGTAATCCTATAATATTTCCGATAATCTTCATATTTTTTTGAAAAGTTACAGATTGTTTTGTAAATGGTCATAACTTTTTTCAAACGATGTATTTTGCCCGTATTGAATATATTGATACTATGCTTAGTGTCGATAGCCTCGTTTTTAACTTGGAATATATAATACATTCGAATGTTTTGAATACAATACTAATAACGATAAGATTGAGGACAGGTATAATTTCTATTGAATAAAAAAGAAGAAAAAGAGATAGATCTTTTTGTGTGATCATTATTCAATCGGATCGTGTTTATACTTGTATCTGCGTGTACGTTGCGTAAAGCACTTTGAAATAAATGACATAAGAATTAATTTTGTTTTCTATTTTTCTTTGTTAGAAAAAAAACCTTGTTTCTTTCACGACTTTCTACAACTTACGTTAGAAATAATTTTTATTTACACAAATAATGAAGAGTATGATGAAATAAGATAAGTAAACTTTTTCACTAAATCGAATCGTATTTTTATAACCATTCAAAATATCGAGAATAGAAGGAAATCCTATTCAAACCTAATTACAACAAAAAAACTTCACTTTTGTAATAGATCTAGCGAAACTAAATAGGAATTTTATTCGACTTTAAACGAAAATATTAATATATATTTCAAATTTTTTCTACAAACATAGACACATCATCCCAGTTATGAAAATGAGAATGTAATTTCAGACCTAATTCTAAAATTAAAATGAATTTAAATCGTTTAATAAAATTCTAGAAAATTTTTTATGCAACGAATGAAATAGAATAAAAATATGAAAAAGAACATCGAAGTATTCATCATTTTTGAAATTTTCCTTCAAAAATTTTCTTTAAGAATAATAATTGAAATCGATAAAATTTCTGAAAATCGAATTATATTCATTTACTTGAATTTGAATTATCTTAGAGAATTTCATTTTACTCCATTGGTTTCAGAATCTGAAGCTACGGATCTTATTCTAATTTTACAAATGATTATTTCATACACGTATATTGAAACTTTTTTAAGATTAACCTACTTGATTCTTCTAAAATAAACTCATCCGTACAATTTATTTAGTTCTAAGAATATATTTGTTTTCGATAAGGTTTTAAATTAGTGCAAATACAGAATGAAAGAATGTAAACAGGATTGATGAACACCTATTTTATTACGAATCGAATCTTTTATTGAAAATTACTATTAGATGAGTATACAAGGGTGTGGATGTGAGCCTTGTCTTCATATTCAGTCACACCCACACCCACATCATCTATCTCAATAATCAATTCCAGTCATTTCTATTGTTTCGTTAACATTTGATGAAATTGAGTGCACATCTTCAATTATTATTGTTTGTCCATCTTTAGAAATAAAGTCTTTCTTAATGAACTGTTTTGACTTGTATATTTTCCTCTTGTTTGTCACGATAATAATAGAATGAATTGCTCAAAACATGTTAATCAAACACACTATTCTATAGAGTTTTCAAAAAAAGTTCTTCAAAGAAAATAAGAACAATGGTACATGGTCTATTAAGAGAGAGAAATGTTGAAAATATAGACAGAACTATTTTTTACATCATCCGTTATGTTATTCACGTCCCAACTTTGTCATTTGTTGCTATACAAACTAGATTTCACTTGGAATCGATCAATCATTAAATGAAATTAAACAGTCTATTTAGAAATTAAAAAGTCAAAGTATGGTGGTTAAAAAAGTTAGGCGATCATGTTGCGTAGATATGATGCAAAAATTTCTAACAATGGAGTTGTGTGTATTGTTGAGCGAAAAAGTGGCACATGTTCGGGTCAAATGAAAGCTCTCAACGTCAAACTAACAAGGTTAAAATATTAGCGGCCGTTGGCTTGCCTAGAGGGAGATATTTAACTTTTAAGTGTAGGTGTAAAAATGAATCAGGAAAGGTTTTCTCCACTATTATAAGGACAAAACATAGTGTTGTTCGGGGCGATTAGGGGATGTGTAGTGACTCTCTTTCATATGGTCCGAACAACACTATGTTCTGTCTTTACAATAGTAGAGTGAATTTTTCCTGTAGGTCATGGAAACGGTATTTTCTATCAATCACTAGAAAAATTCACTCCGCTACTATAACTACAAAACATAGTGTTGTTCGGGCCGATTATAGGGTTTGAAGGATCCCTCTTTCATATGTCCCGAACAACACTATGTTTTGTCCTTATAATAGTGGAGAAAACCTTTCCTGATTCATTTTTACACCTACACTTAAAAGTTAAATATCTCCCTCTAGGCAAGCCAACGGCCGCTAATATTTTAACCTTGTTAGTTTAGCGTTGACAGCTTTCATTTAACCCGAACATGTGCCACTTTTTCGCTCAACAATACACACACCTTCATTGTAAGAAATACTTTAAATCACAACAAATAACATATTCTGATTTAAATAAAAGATGAACTATCTTTCCAATTTCACTGAAATAATATTGTCAGCTATAGATCTTATACATATATCATACATAGAATTCAGGACCTTTATAGTGTAATAGATCGTGTGTATTCTTAATGAATCGAGTTAGTGTTTGTGCCGATATTGATGACACGGCTCGATGATTCTCCTTTCTTCTCTGTCTGTTCTCTTTCCGTTGTTCTAATATATCTCTCTCCTATATATTTGCGTATTATGTATGAAGTTGATACACTTTGGATATGTGAAATAGCTGAATAAACATCATTGCCGAGAATGCCGAAAAGCTATTCAATCCAGTTTGTCGTTACAGTGTTCTGTTGTTTTCTTACTTTTCGATCAATGTTCTTCTTTTGAAAAAAAAGATCATCATTGACCAATACGATTACATCAATCAGATTGTTTAGATAAAGCGAATAACCATAACATGACAACAGAAAGGAAAGGCGAAAAATATTCTACTGATCTCACCAGTATTTATTCATAGAAAAAAATTTAAAAAACTAAAAATTTAGGTCATTCGTTCATTCTCTGTAAATAATTCATTCTTATATTTCTTTACGTAATATTACAAGTTATAACATAAATATGTACATCAAGTTACATGCGTTCATCTTATAGTTTTCATTGCTGACTTTTTTAAGGATCTATGTTTGTCTGTATTACACAATATGAATGTAAAAAAAATTGAGAATATTTCATCGAGCAAGTATCATTGAGGAAAAAGAATTTTAATAAGAATAATAATGATCATGTGTTGGTTTGAATAAAACACATAATAACTTCTAGGTTTATCTCAATGAGAAGAATTACAATTCTATCTTCTAATTCTAACTATTCAACTTAATGCAAAGTAAAAGTTGAATT